TCTAATTACCAACAGAAACTGAGCTGTCACATAAAGATGCCTCTCAAGGCTCCCTGAGCACATTCATTATAGTCCAGGGAGGACTGATATCCATTCATATTTCCTTTTTTTCCATTCTTACTCAGGAATTTGCTGAATGAAATCCCATTCCTGTGCTGTGCTCAGATTTGGGGTGAGGGGAGCAGACGCAGAGCCTGAACCCGAGCCCAGCTGTGCTGCTGGGAGCTGCCACACTCCTGATAAGGGAAATTTATTCTGAGCAGCCCAGGACACCTCTGCCAGGGCCATTTCCATATCTCTGCTCAGCCAGGGCTGATTAAGGAGGAGTGGAGTCCCGAGCCCAGGCTCATCTGTGCTGCAGTCACTGCCTGACATCAGATAACGTCCCCAGGGAGCAGCTTTGATCAGCCTGCAGCACTGGGGGAAATGCTTGGGAGCAGTCCCTGATGTTTTGCATCTGGTCCATTTTCAGAACTGTTTTCATGTTGGCAAGTTCCTCCCGGGGAGGAATGGCAGCACTGAGGAGGTGGGGCCCAGCCCTGAGCCCTTCCTGGTGCTGCTGGCATCACTGGCAGCACCTCCTGCTCTGGCACTGCCATCTCTGGGGGGAATCCAGCCCCTGGGCTTTTCTTCCAGCAGGAAATGTGTGTTTGGAGCTGCAGGTGGGAGGGAAGCCCTGCGAGCTCCTTGGTGGGTGCTGGGGTTGGAAAATGAAGTTTCCTCGGAGGCAGGCTGAAATTCCTGCTAAAAGGGACAGTTCTCTGTGAAAGCTCCCCCTGGCTCCTTCCCTGTGCACGTTTGGAGCTGAACATCACAGGAAGCCTGGGCTGGAATGGGAACATCCTTGTGACATCTCCAGGCAGCTCCTGCCCGGGCAGACTGAGCTGGGATGGGCTCTGCCCACCCTCCTCTGCCTTTAGCTGGACAGCAGTCAGGTCAGCTCTGGCAGGGGCTCGGGGCAGAGCACGCAGACAAAAGTGAAGCTTCCTCCAGCAGGAGAAGGTGCCTGGGCTGGGGGTCATGTTTGTTTGTTTAACTGGAGCTGCCTGCCCTGCAGCCCCTGAGCTGGGTCAGTTGTTTGCAACCCAAACTTGTTACTGAGTGAGAACTGGTAGAACTAGCTAAGGACAGCAGGAATTTTCCTAAAGCCCCCTGGGCTACAACAGATAATAACAAACTGGCCTGACTCTATTAAAAAGACATTGAAGCATCGGGTCACGCTGTTTAGTGGTCCTGGGAGCCAGCTGGATTCCCAGGAATCCTGCAGATAGAGGCTGGAAAACTGGTGGGAAAGGGCCAGCGAGGCGTTCATCCCTCTTCATTTCTCCAGAAGGCCAAAGGCTCCTTTTCCTTTCCCTCATTATTCCCTGTGGAGCTCTGCTGTGCCTGTGCATTCAGAGGGGAGGGCAGCACTGCCAGTCTGAGCCTGGCAGCCCAAGGAAGTCTCTGTTCATCTTCTCCTTCTGCCTTCTCTGGGAAAAGGCTCTGGGAGACACGGGGAGTCTCACTGGGAGAGATGATCTGCTTTGGATATCAAAGGATTGAATGGCACAAGGTGTGTTTTTTGCTGGAAAAGCACCTGAAGCAGCCCCATCTCACTTTAACCCGCTCCAGGCTGCTTCCTCTTGTTGTGTATTAATTGTTGAAGTGTTTTAATAACCCTTGGTCAAAGACAACTGCAATTCCTGGCACATCACAGGACAGCTGGGAAAGATGTTTGACAGCTGTCAGTGGGAAAAGCTGTGTATCCTAAAGGGATTAGAGTCCTTGCTTTGAAGTTCCCAACAAGTTACACAGCAGAGAAGCCAGACTGGGAACAATGAGGGTGGAACAGCTCCGTGAGGTCACCCCACAAACGTGGCAGAGGGAGAAACAGAACTTTGGGGTGTCAGGAGCCAGGGCCACGCTGCTCGGGGATGAGTGAGCCCTGCAGGGCTGGGGACCCTCTGGTGATGCTGGCTCCATCCTGGGTCCCTCACGACGTGCAGCTCATCCAGGCTGCCCCTGGGTGTTTGAAGAGGGTTTAACCAGCCAAACACAAGAGCAGCCCTGTTGCCTTGGAGAGGGTGTAGCTGTGAGCAAAATTTGGCCCTCTCTTTTAGACTTTGCAGTTTGTCTTGACTGCTGCATGCTTTATTTTTAGAGCATCATAAAAGGCTTTTGTTCCAGGGTATATTTAACAGGGGAGTGGAGGGGAAGTGGGAGGGTTTTGTTCACAGAGAATGTATCTCTTGGTCTCTTTCTTCTATCCCACCCCCTCACCAGATACTCTTGGAGGGTGGAGTATAAATGAAAAAAAAAGAAAAAAGAAAAGAAAAGGAGAGAAAATAATAATTAGAAATCCTGAAATCATAGTCAAAGGGATTGTCTGGGCGTCCAGGCCTGGAGGCCTCCGAGGCGCCACAAAAATCCCATTATCACAAAAAAGACACAAAAGGTGCCCAAAGGATGGAAGAGGCAGGACAGGGGTGGTCCTGTCTGGCAGGAGCAGCGCCCAGGGACACCTCACAGCCACTCTGGGCTGCTCCTGAGCCTCCTTGCAGGGGTGGCACCGGGGCTTTGCCAGCAGAGCAGGAGGGTCTGGAGGGGCTGCAGGGGCTGCAGGGGCTGCAGGGGCTGCAGGGGCTGCAGGGGCTGCAGGGGCTGCAGGGGCTGCAGGGGCTGCAGGGGCTGCAGGGGCTGCAGGGGCTGCAGGGGCTGCAGGGGCTGCAGGGGCTGCAGGGGCTGCAGGGGCTGCAGGGGCTGCAGGGGCTGCAGGGGCTGCAGGGGCTGCAGGGGCTGCAGGGGCTGCAGGGGCTGCAGGGGCTGCAGGGGCTGCAGGGGCTGCAGGGGCTGCAGGGGCTGCAGGGTTTGTTCTTCTCCTGTGCTCCTGGGGGAGCTGCCAGCCCCATCCCTGCTGCCCTGCAAAGGGCTGAGCCTGACAGGCTGAGCCAAATCCAGAGGTGGCACAGGGCACCTTCCACTGAGACAAAAGCTGGCCCTGCTCAGCTCTGCCAGACACATTTCTCTTTTTTCTTTGTCAGGGCTTCTCCCTGCAGAGGTCAGAGCCCTGTCCTTCCCCTGCCTGCTCTGGCTCTGGCAGTGTTTTCTCCTCCTTCACGTTTGTTGCTGGAGTCTGTAAAGTTGGAAGAAACTCAGAAATCCCCCGAGGGGATGGTGCAGCTCTGCAATAACCAGAGCCAGTGAAATCCTCTCTGCCTGGATGGGGTGAAGGACTCGGAGCTGCCACTGCAGGCACCATGAACTCAGCAGGGCTTCATTAACTGGAGATAAAATCAGAGTATTGATCAACTGCTGCCACAACTGCCACAGATTAGTGCTGCCCTTGGCTTGACAGGACACGGCCCTGCCCGTGGCAGGGGGTTGGCACTGGATGATCCTTGAGGTCCCTCAACCCAACCCACTCCGTGCTTCTCCATCCTTTCAGCCTCTGGGTGTTGCTGTCCCTGCTCCTGGCGCTCTCCAGCAATCCCTGGTGGAGTTTGCACTGCTCCAGCCCCTTGGCTTGCACTGCCAGGAGAGCCTTTGCCAGCCCTGGACCCGGGCAGGAGGGGCCCAGCAGGTGCCCACGGCCACCCTCGTCCTGCGCCAGCAGCCAGGGAGCTGGTGGGGCTGCTGTGCCCAAATTAGAGATCTGTGCTCACAGGTGCCTGTGTGGACACGGCTCCTGCCTGCCCTGCTGGGCTGGGAGCCCTGTGTCCCCAGAGAGCCACACTCAGAGCTGTGACACCTCGGAGCTGTGACACCCCAGAGCCGTGCCATCTCCAGGGCTGTGCCATCTCCAGAGCTGTGCCATCTCCAGGGCTGTGCCATCTCCAGAGCTGTGCCATCTCCAGAGCTGTGACACCTCAGAGCTGTGACACCTCAGAGCTGTGCCATCTCCAGGGCTGTGCCATCTCCAGGGCTGTGCCATCTCCAGGGCTGTGACACCTCGGAGCTGTGACACCTCGGAGCTGTGACACCTCAGAGCTGTGACACCTTGGAGCCGTGCCATCTCCAGAGCTGTGCCATCTCCAGGGCTGTGACACCTCAGAGCCATGACAGCTCCAGAGCTGTGACATCTCCCATCTCCAGACCGTGCAGGGCAGGAGCTGAGCGGGGCAGGCAGGAGTGAAACACGATGGGGGGGTGAGAACGAGGGGTGGAAGCCTTTCTTTTTCCCTTTGTTTTAAGGCTTGTATCAACTTGCCTGGCAAAATCCTCTCCTGCCTTCCAAATCCAGTCACCGTGAGTCACGGCTGAGCCCATCCTCTGCCTCCTCATTGCAACACGGATGACAGAAACCATCCAGCAAGAGGCCTTGAATCCCTGATGAGTTTTGTTCTATTGCACAAACCTTTCCCCGTGTGCAGGGTTGCTGCAGAGGTGTTGCCTGGGTGGTATTCCTGCAGCCCCTTCCCAAACCTCCTGCTCACAAAGGTTATCCCACGGGTTAGCCCTGCTCCTGACAGACCCAGAGCAGTGCCAGGATATTCAGGGAATGGCTTGGCACCAGAGTTAGGAGGGTTCAGGTTCATTTTTTAAGAGGGAGGAAAAAGAAACCTCCTCGTGGTTCTGGAGTGAGTGGCTGAGAGGAGGTGAGGAGAGGCAAGGAAGGGTTTTTTTCCTGTCAGTACAACTACACGGAGGAATGAGAGGAAACTGCCTCCTTCCCTAACTCATTCCTTTGTAAATACATGTATTTTGAGTGGATTTATACATAAAGAAACAGCAAAGAACAAAGCAGCCCCCAGCTCCGCGGCAATGACAGCTCCTTGGCACGGCAGCCCCGGAGCCCATCCGCCAGGCTGAACCTCCTTATCCCGCGCTGAGTCCCGGGTTCCGCCCCTTCACCCTCCCGGGGGTTGCGGGCGGCCCGGCAGGGACGGGGTTAAGCTGCACCTGTCTGGGTGTACCTGTCCCAGGGCACCTGTCCCGCCAGCCAATCGCGGCGGGGCCGCCCCACCTGTGCGAGCGCTGCCATAAATCAAACACCTGGCAGGGAATGTCCGTGTGAGCCGAGCCGAGCCGAGCCAGCCCAGCCCAGCCAGCGCTCCGCACCGCGCCGATGGCCCAGGAGCTGGAGTAAGTGCGAGCCCTCGCTGCCCTCCCCGCTTTGCTGCTCCCGGCTGCTCCTCTGCCTGCCCCGGTGTTGGTCAGGCTCTACAGAACGGCACGGGAGCGTCTCCCGATCTTCTGCCGCTGCCCGGGCTGCCGCTGCTCTGGGGAGGACTCGCTCCTCGGGGATCCCTCCTTGGGATTCCTTCCTCAGGGATCCCTCCTCGGGAATCGCTCCTTGGGATTCCTTCCTCAGGAATCCCTCTTTGGGAATCGCTCCTTGGGAATGGCTCCTCGGGGATCCCTCCTTGGGAATCCTTCCTCAGGAATCCCTCCTTGGAAATCCCTCCTCGGGAATACCTCCTTGGAAATCCCTCCTTAGGAATCGCTCCTCGGGAATCGCTCCTCAGGAATCATTCCTTGGGAATCCTTCCTCAGGGATCCCTCCTCAGGATTCCTTCCTCGGGAATCCCTCCTGAGGAATCGCTCCTCGGGAATCCCTCCTCAGGAATCCCTCCTTTCCATTCAGAACCTGTTAAAAACCACGATCCCGGTTATTTTTTTTTATCCCCAGCTAAAACTGACACACGGGGTTTATGTCTAAAGCCAATCTGCTCTGCCTCTGTCCAACAAAATCTAACAGCAGCTACAGGAATCTGGTTTAATTTTATATCTATTTATTTGAGAAAATACCTTCCAAAGGATTTGTCAGTCTCTAGTTTCTAGGGGTGGGGATTGTTGTGTGTCTTTTTTGTTGAGGGTTTTATGATTTCCCCCCCCCCCTTTTTTTTTGTTTATTTTGTTTTTATTTGTTTGTTTGGGTAGAGGTGCTGTGTTTTTTTTTTTTTTCTTTCGGTTTTTTGTTTGTTTTGGGGTTTAGTTTTTGTGCGTTTTTTGTTGTTTGTTTGGATTTTTCTGTTAAGTAAATGGATTCACACTATGACCTTATCCAATAATTTAATCTTTTGAATAAGAAAAAGCCTTTAACACCTATCGATCCTGTATAACTCTCGTTCCTAATTTTGGCATCTCCGAAATATTTTGGACTTTTGGACGCTGATGGTGTCAGCAAACAAGTGTCAGGCTGGCGTGACGGCTGCGGGGCAGGCTGCGGAGCAGTGGCAAAGCTGCTGGCACTCGGTGCTGAACCCCAGCCCGGCCCTGAGCCCTGCAGGGAGGATTTGCGCGTAAAATATCGATCAAGAAATAGAAATGGCATCTATCAGTGCGGAGATCGCGGTGGTTTTGGGAGAAACCCGCTCGCCCGTGTGTGTTTACAAGCCTGACAGAGCTGCTGTGTCAGCCCATCTCCTCCTAATTAAGAACCCTGAAAAGGCACAGCGCTAATTATTATTTCGTGTAAATCCCGGGATCAATCCGCTCGGACTGAGTGCGAATCTGTCACCGAAATTTCCGCTTGCCGCAGTTTTTGGGTCGTTTAGAACCGGTGCTTTTGAGGTTTGGGAGGGAGGACGCGTTTGGCTCTGGGAGCGCGCGATTGATGGATTTATCGCTAATTACGGCCGGGAATTACACGGCCGCTGCCTCTGTTAACCCTGAGGCTGCCGGGCAGGGGGAGCAGCCCCGGGGCTGCTTTGGGCCCCGAGCGGGGCTTTCCCAAAATCCCATCCTGGGGAGCAGCTTTTGGAAATTCCGCTTTATTCCCGTGACAAACCCCTCGGGAGGAACCGACCGAGCCCGGGCAGGACCGGGGGGACGTTTGGGGTCACCCCGGGCCGGGGGCTGCTCGCCCAAAGCTCCGCAGGGCTCCGGGCAGCGCATCCCGGTGGGAATTCCGCGGGAGCGGAGGGCAGGGGCGCGCTCGGGGAGAGCGGGGCAGGGGGATGGGGACAGGCTGCCAGAGCCCCCCCGCGAGCCCCCGAGCTGCCAGTGTCGCGATAATCGCCGGGGAGGGCTGGGCAGACACCGGAGCAGCCCGGCACATCTGCCCAGATGTGGCTGATGCTCGGCCGCTGGGAGAAGGATCCCACCTCTCCCTCTGGGATTCCAAACTCCCCGAGAGGACCGGGAAGGAGCAGCGTGCCGTGGGAGGGGGAGATGTTTTGCCTATTTTAAAATATTCTAACTGCTGATTTCCATAGTCCTCTACCCTGAACCTGTGTCTAACTCTGCCTGCGTGGGCTGCAAGGAGTTAACCAGGAGTTACTCCCAGTTGTGGTTTTGTGGTCGAAACCATGATCGCCAGAAGCAAATTTTTGTCATGCATAAGGTGTGTTATTAAAACTTGAGTTATGCTCCTGGTGAATGAAAAGTTAAAGCCCTTTTATAAAACCCTGGCAGCAAAGCACACAAGGGATAACCGAGCTGAGCAAGGGAGCCTGGCTGGGATTTTTTTTTAAAGTTATGTAAAGAGAAAAAGAGATTTGTAAATTAAAGAAACAACAATCAAATAACTGCTATGCAATTCCAACAAAGGAGTAAAAGGCCTCTGAATAAACTCCAGACTGAAAGCAGGGGTGAATCAACATTTGCACAGTATCTCTGCTTTGATGCTCTGGGTCCCATCTTGGGCTGATTGGTCCATGGGAATGGTTCCAGGGAAATGTGCAGAATAAAGACAATTCCTCTGGGGAGGATCTGCTCTGGCTCGGCTGGGGGTTGAACTGTTGATCAGTGTAACATATTCATCCAAAAATGCACTTGTGCCTGGATTGCACCTGCCAGCCCTCGGATCAGTGATGGCAGGGAAGGGATCCTGGAATTGTGTGTGCTCGAGGAGGAAAAGGCACCAGCTGAGGAATGGTAATCAGGGGGACTCATTACTGAGCTCGTGATTACATGCACTGCTCACAGCCAAGTTTGCAAGGCTTGGAGGGTAACAAATACGGAAGCCATTGGGGTTAGATGGAACTTGGGGAAGAAATCCCCGCTGTGAGGGAGGCAGGCCCTGGCACAGGTGCCCAGAGAGGCTGGGGCTGCCCTGGGTCCCTGGCAGTGCCCAGGCCAGGCTGGAGCACCTGGGGCAGGGGGAGCTGTCCCTGCCAGGTCCCTTCCAGCCCAAAGCACTGCAGGGCTCTGATGGTTCATTTCTTGTCCCTTGGGGTGTTCTGGCTGCAGCTCTGGCTGGGGGCTGAGGCTGATCCAGACCCCATCCCTGTCCCCAGCCTGGGCACAGCTCAGTGCTCAGCGCTGGCACTGCCCTGAGCCTCCTGCTCTGCCCAGCTCTTGTTGCTGCCCTTGGCACTCCGAGCTCTGCCTGCTTCCCAGGGCTGGATCAGCTTTGTTTGGCAGAACCATCCTCGGAAGCACCTTGTGCTGGGGCTGGTGTTGTGTGAAACAGAAACACAAAACCCAAAATGAAGCAGAAGCTGCTGCTCCTGTGCTCACAGGACACGGAACCAGGGCAGGGGGACAGAGTGCACCTTGTGGGAGACCTGGAGTGAGACTGCTCAGGGGAAAGGTCCCTCCAGGATGGGAAGGGACAGGGAAAGGCACAGGGGGAGCCCACCCTGCTGAGGGGGCAGAGCTGCGGGCACAGGGGCAGGGCAGGGAGCAGCTGCTCCATGTGAGGCTCCTGTCAAGTGTCCTGCCCTGGCACAGCTTCCTGGAGCCTCTTGGGCAACAGGATCCACCTCTGCCACCTTCAGCAGGGCACCGGCCCCGTGCCAGGCGTGAGCTGTGGCTGCAGCCGGGCAGGGAGGGACCAGCACAGCCCTGGCTGGGGGGACACGACTGAGACTGAGCAGGAGCTGGGGCTGAAGGCTCCAAGCTCTGCTCTCCTCGGCTCGCTGCTTCCTTGTGACATCCCCAGAGTGTCCCTGCAGAGCCCTGGCAGGGTGTGCTGAGGGAAGCAGAGAGCCCTGAGCCAGGCTGGGCTTTGTCCTGAGCACAGACAAGCCAGAGTAGCTGATTACTGGTTAGAAAAACCACACTGTCTGAAGAGGAGTGAAAAAGAAACAAATTTTGTTGCAGAAGTTTGTGTGTTATGGCTACCTTTGGTGGGTTTAAATCCACGTCTTGTAAAACAGGGATTTTTAAAAATTTAATTTTATTTAGAAGTCATGGCTGTTGGAGTTAGAGAATCTACAAAAATTACCTGTGTCATCTTCTTTGGTGGGTGAAGCACTGGGGGCCCCAGTGCAAAGTGTGCTGTGTTGGCACAGGGAGGGTTTGTGTGCAGGAATAACTGTCCATGAAGTGCCTGGGTCTGTCCACAGTGAAAGCAGCAATGAGAGGGAAGCTCACAGCAATATTTCAGTGGAGCAGATGCTCAGGGCCTGGTTTGTGTCTCCCTTTGGAGTCAGATATCCCTGAAACTCAGGACGCCCCAAAACGGAACCACCTGACATCAGAAATTGCTGCTGGGAGAAATCAGCCAGAATTGCTGACCTGCAGAGGGATGTGAGCTCTGTTCTGCTGCCAGGGGAGGCACCGAGGCAGGCCTGCCAGGGGGTGCCTCCCTCCAGGGGCTGTCCTGGGCTGAGGCACAGCCTGGACTGTCCCAGGCTGCAGAGGCAGAGCAGCCAGCACTGCTGGCACCCACAGCAGAGCTTCAGGGCTGCCTCTGCTGCCCCATCTCTGCTGCACAGCCCAGGAGGAGCATTGCAGGGTCAGCCCTGTCCCCTGGTCCTTCTGCTGCGCTGAAAAAGAGCTGCAGGGGCAGGAGCTCGGCTGGGTGAATGGGGACAAACGCTGAGCTGGTTTGAGGTGTCTGGGGTGCCCCAGGAGGGCAGGGGAGGGGATCAGGGGGATCCCTCCATTCCCAGGAGGGCAGGGGAGGGGATCCCCCCATTCCCAGGAGGGCAGGGGAGGGGGATCCCCCCATTCCCAGGAGGGCAGGGGAGGGGGATCCCCCCATTCCCCAGCAGCAGCTGCCCCAGGAGCTTTGTCTGGCCCAGCCTGCAGAGCCTCCCCGCTGGATCTGCTGGGGGGGATCAGTGCCCACCCCACCAAGGAGTCACCACAGAGCTGCACTGGCAGCCCCAGAGCCCTGTGGGGATCAGGAGCCGTGTCCCAAAGCTGTTCTTGGTGTCCCCTTTCCTCCCCATGGCATTCCTGCAGGGTGCCCCGTGCTGTGCCAGCCTGGGGGGGCTGGATCCCCCCTGTGCCACACAGAACCCGGGGAGGAGAAGCTCCTGCACTGAGCTGAGTGAACCCTGGGCTGAGGGTGCTGCTGAAATGGCCCTGCACAAAGCCAGGGACAGAGCCCACATTGTTCTGCAGCTGCCAGAGAAAACATCCCAGGAAATGTCCCACAGGCAGTGCAGGTCAGGGGCCATGGGCAGAGCGTGGTCTCCTGGGCCTGTGGAGTCACTCTGTGTTGTGCTTGGCTCCCCAGCACTGTTTTCCATCACTAGTCTGTGTTTGTTGTGTTTCTTGCTGGGTTTTTTTCCTGGTTCTGTCTCTGTTTGGATTTTTGCCTGGCTGTGTGAGCGGGCTGGTGACAATGCACTCACTGCTGGCTGTGCTGTCACCTTGCCTTCAGGTGTGCTTGTTTATCAAACCTGCAAAGGAATTACAAAATCCCAGCTTAGCTGAGGGCTTTGGCTTCAGCACTGAGGGCCCTCGGAGGGATGCTGTCCTTCCTGACAGGGCTTTGCAGCTGCAGTCCCTGCCAGGGAGAGCTGCTGGCCCTGCCTCGCCAGGGCACTGCTGATCCTCCCTGCATCCTGGCAGGAGCCTGGGGAGCACCAGGGCTCTTCCAAGAGGGAGGAGAGGGCAGTGGCCAAGCCCAGAGCTGATGGAACCCCCACAGGAGCTGCCTGGGGCAGCCCTGAGCTCCCAGGGCTGGGGGCTCTGTCCTGTGCCTGAGTTCAGAGTGGTGCTGCTCACCAGGGTTATGGTGGTGCTGCTCACCAGGGCTCAGTGCTGCTGCTCACCAGGGCTCTCTGTGGTGCTGCTCACCAGGGTTCATGGTGGTGCTGCTCACCAGGGTTTATGGTGCTGCTGCGTCAGAGCAGGGCTGACAGTGACTGCTCACCAGGGTTTATGGTGGTGCTCACCAGGGCTCAGTGGTGCTGCTCTGCAGCCACAGCATCTGTGCTGCTCACCAGGGCTCTCTGTGGTGCTGCTCACCAGGGTTCATGGTGGTGCTGCTCACCAGGGTTTATGGTGGTGCTGCTCTGCAGCCACAGCATCTGGCAGGGCCAGGATTTAGGCTGGAGCTTAACCAGGTGTAGTGGAGGGAACAAAGGCAGCTCCACCAAGCTCCAAGGCCAGCAGAGCCTCCCAGACACCCAGCAGAGGCAGCAGGAGTTCAAGGGCTCTTTCCTGCTTGGCTGCTGTCCCCACCTGGACCCTTTGGGCATGTTCTCCTGCTCCAGCACAGCCCTGAGTGTTTATCCATCACCAGGAGAAATTGGGGAAACAGGTGGGGTGGGCTGGAGCGGGAGAGGGGCTGGGATCACCTCGTGTCACTCCCCAAGTGTTTGGAAACAAACAGACTGCTCCCTGCCCCAAATCCTGCTCCGCTCTGCGCATGGCCCCAGGCTGCAGCTCCCAGGGTTTGTGTTTCCCTGGCCTGGAAAGGAGCTCTGGCTGTGCCAAACAGAGCAGGGAGCTTGGAATGGGCAAACACAGCCTGGCCACGTGCAGGGGCATCACAGGCAGGGAGGAAAGCAAAGTTCAGCTGTGTTTGGACCTGGATTTGGGTGACTTTCCTGGTGTGTTTGGACCTGGATTTGGGTGACTCTCCTGGTGTGTTTGGACCTGGATTTGGGTGACTTTCCTGCAGCTGTGCCTCGCAGAGGCTGCTGATGGGACCTGTGCGTTCTGAAGGGCTGGGGAGCAAAGTGACCACCGTGTCCTGTAGGTCCTGGTGTCAAAAAGGTGCCTTGGACTTGTCACCACAGCTGCTTCTCTCCTCAGATCACCTCTCCCTCCGAGGCTGGGGAGCCGTGGTGCCCTTTGGGAGCAGGGTCAGAGCAGGGCTGACAGTGAGTGGGGTGGATGTGCCCTCACTCCCTGCAGGGTGGGCCCTGAGGGGCTCACTCACACATCCCAGTGCCTCCCAGGGATCCCATGGACTCTGCAATGGGAACAAGGTGGGCTAAAGGTGCAATCCTGTCACTTGTGCCACTGCTCAGCTGGGTGAAGCCCAGCCTCGCTGGGACCAGTGCAGTTCCAGTGCCTGGAGCTGCTGCTCTGCCTCTCAGGGCTCTGCGGCTTCTGAGCACCTCAGAACCTGCCTGAAGCTCCCAGCGTGTCCCGAGCTGCTGTCCCCCTGCTGTCCTGAGCTGCTGTCCCCCTGTCATCCCTGCTGTCCCCCTGCTGCCATCCCTGCTGTCCCCCTGCTGTCCCCCTGCTGCCAGCAGCACCAGGGCTCTGTGTGCCCACCTTTGGCTCTCTCCATTCAGGGCATTTTGCCTCTGCCCTCTGCCAGGCCAGGGTCCCTGGGTGCCTTTCCCAGGGTTTCTCCCAGCAGAGGTGCGGGGCAGGGAGGCAGAAGGGAATAACCACACGGGGAATGTTTTACTTTAGCCATTTCTCCTGGCTGTGTGGGTGCTTTGCTCAGCCCCCCAGTGCTCTGTTGCTCCATCCTGCCCCGGGTGTTTTTCTCTGCTGGTTCCTCAGGCCACCAGCCAGGCTCCAGAGCTGGGCTGTGCAGGGAAAGCAAAGGATTCCTCAGGAAAAGGTGACACGGACAGCAGAAACAGCCCTTGGTGGCCTCATGGAAAAAATCAGCTGTCATTCCTGAACTGCAGAGTAATTCTGTGCTGTAGTTTGTGCTGTTAGGCAGGGGAGGCACCAAGCAGGAGTGTGAGCCAAGGGGAGCTGGGGAGTCAGAGCCAGGGGCAGCCCAAGGCATCCCTGCAGGGTCAGTGCGGATTTGTGCAGGGGGCAGTGCTGGTGACAGAGCATCCACGGGGAGCTTCAGGGGTGCCAGGGGCATCCCAAGAGGAATTATTGTCCTCTGAATGATTCACTTAAAAGTCTAGACCAGGACGTTTTATAGATATATGGATAGTGGCTTCATGAAAGCAACATATTCCTTGTAAAAACGCCATTAAACTGGAGCATTCATTGCTGTAACTCCTGAAGGATTCCCTTGCCTTTCCATGAACAAACAGCAGCAGCTGATGTCATGGCTCTGCTCCAGTCAGCTCCCGGCAGCTCTGGAGATTTAAAGTTCTCAAAACCTTTCTTCTAATAAAACCCAGTCTTGCCCTTCCTGGACATTTCCCCTTTGAGCAAAAGGGAATTTCTGTCCACAGAGATGTGATTCTGTGGTGAATGCTGTGGGCTGTGGTGGTGACAGGAAGGTGTGACAGGAGCAGGGCTCAGCCTCTGTGGACGTGCTGGGATTCCACCAAAGGCTGGACTCAATCTCTGGGGTCTTTTCCAGCCTAAACAATTCCAGGATTCCAACTCCCAGGGAATGCACAGAGGCACTGCTGGGCTGGCTGCTGGCAGGGCTTGCTGGAGGAAAAGGAAAGATGAGCCATGTTTGGGTAATTAAGTGTCTGACAGTTTATTAACATAAGATGGAGAGGCCTGGAGAAAGTGCCAGAAGTGAGGACAGGCAGGGCATTATTTTGGTGTGTTGCTTCTCACGTAGTCCCACGAGCCTCACCTCAGTCAGGAATTTTTTAGTGGAAGGGAGGGGGTTGTGATCTGCCTGTCTGCTTCCCTCTGAGGAAAATCATCTACAAATGGTTGGGAAAAAATAATTTAAAAGCCATGGACTGCAGCAAAGGAAAACAATGAGGTTTGGTTTCATCTGGGTGACTGTGTCTGACTGGGCTCTGCTGGCCTGGAGCTCCACATCCAAGGGAAAATTGTTCCCTGCTCCTTTGTAGTGCCCAGCACCCTGGGACAGAGCAGGACGGGCTGGAGGGAGGAGCAGCTGCTGGGTTTTGCTCCCTGGGCAGGAAGGGAGAGGCTCTGGCCTGGTTCTGTGCCCAGCCACAGCAGCAGAGGTGGTGATCCCAAGGGCTCTGGGAGCTCAGGAGCAGGACAACATCCCTGCTCCATCCCACTGAGCCCTGGGCAAGCCCTTCCTGAGGAAACCTCTGTGGGAAAAGCTCCCCCGATTCCCGGCCCCCCAGTTTCAGATCCGTGCGTCTGATGAAGAATGACACCATGAACTTCCAGAAGTTCCCCTACACCAGCGAGGACGAAGCCTGGAAAACCTACCTGGAGAACCCCCTGACTGCAGCCACCAAAGCCATGATGAGGGTGAACGGGGACGACGACAGCGTGGCTGCCCTGAGTCTCCTCTACGACTACTACATGGTGGGTGCCCCTGGCTGGGCTAAAACTGGGCTAAAACTGGGCTAAAACGGGTAAAACCGGGGTAAAAGAGGTGCAGAATGTGTGTAAAACATGTACCACCCTGGAGGGGACCCCTCTCCTGAGCTCCCCCAGCTACTGAGCCCCCTGAGTTGTTTATCCACCAAGCTGTGCCACCAGTGTCCCCAGGGGTAAACTGAGGCACAAACCAGCACTTTGAGGGAGCTCAGAACATGTGGAAATCCTGAACCCGGGTGCCCTGAGTGTGGATTTTTACCCATAAGGGCTTTGAGGGCTTTGGGCTGGAGCAGACCCCACAGGTTTATCTCCCAGTGCTGCTGCAGGATGGAGCTTTGAGCAATGTGGATCTGATTTATCCTGGCTGGGAACAGGAATGATTTCCCCACTCTCTTTGGTGCTTTTAAGGCCCTGCCCAGAACCAGCTGCTGTGGCTTGTCCAAGGTTATTTGGGAGCCCAGGGCAGAGCCCAGCTCTGCTGTTTGTTCTTCTCGTGGGGTTTTCTCTGCTTTTATTAGACAATATTATTTTATTTAATTCTGCTCTGTTTCCCTGTCACAAAATCCAGCCCCAACCAACCTCTGCTCTGCCTTTCCCAGGTGCCCAAGGAGAAGAGGATCCTCCCAGCTGGGATGATGGCACGCAATGACCTGGCCAAGAGGTTGGCTTCAGTTGCTGCTCTCTGGAGCTGCCTCACTCTCCTGCAGCTGCTGAAATGCAGGCTGGGGCTCTGAGCTTGCAGAAAATAGACATCAAAGCACGGTGTTATTAGCAGCAACAGTGCAGCTCATTAACCCTGAGACACACATTAAAATTCCTTAGGCCAGGTCCCAAGCAGGCAGAAATGGAGCTACACCCATTTACACCCCTGAGCATCTGTCTGGCTGTTCACAGGGCTTCTGCTCATCTGCAGCAGAGGAAGAAATTGCCTTTATTTCCTATTTTGTGACAATTGCAAAGGGCACAAGGATTGAGCCTGAATGGCCAAATCCTCGTTCATTCCCTGGGCTGATGAGAGTTTCTGTTCCACTCTCCCAGGATTCTCTCCCAGTGACTCCCATTTGTCCTTTGAGGTTTTCAGATAATTGCCTATTATATTAATGGCTCATTAATGGCCGCTGTGAGTTCAGTTCCCCTTCCTGGATGCTGTGTACTTTGGCATTGTCAGTCTTGAACCACCTGACAGAACAAACCTCAAGTGATACTTCACTCCTTCAGAAGTAAACTGAGTTAAGCTGCTTTGGGGTTTTGCTTCCTAAGTTGCTGGAGTTAGTGAATTTGTGCAATAATTGTTTTTCCTTCTGAAAAGGGTATAGAAAAATAAACTTTCAGCATCAATGAGCCATGAAAAGACTTATGATGGGCAGCCCCCAGAGCAGTCACCTTTCTTACACCCCTGCTGCTCTGGGTGTGTGGTGGCCTCAGTGAAGGAGCAGGGGATGTGCAGCCCCAAACCACGTCCAGACCCCATTCCCTGACTCCCTGTGGTCATCCCTGATCTGCTGAGCTCCTCTGGCTCTGCTGACTGCCCTGGGTGCTGTGGCTGGAGATGCCAGGGGCTGCCAGGCTCTGCTGGGCTCAGCTGGCAGCCGGGCCACAGCAATGCAGGCACTGCTGGCAGTGCCACCGTGCTGGGGTGCCCGCTGTGCCTGCCCTGAGCCAGCACTCTCTCAGCAGGCACTGCCACGGGCTGGATTACGAGCCTGAGCTGCCCCCCTTGGATGGCTCAGCCCAGCTGATGAAGCTGCTGTCAGAAAACGTCTCCATGAGCCAGGAGTTCTGCGAGCCCCCCAAGAAGAACCTGAGCCTCGAGGCTGTCCCTGCCCCTCACAAGGCAGCCCTGCTCCCTCCGGGCCCCAGCAAGCTGGAGGCCACCCCAGACAACTTCCTGGTGGCCCCGGGGGACGTGTACGACAGCAGCTCCCTGAGCTCCCTGTTCGAGAGCCTGCCCCTGGCCCCGCAGCAGCGCTGGCAGCCCGACAGCACCTTCAAGGAGGATCCCCAGGAGGTCAGGCTGCTGGGGAGCTGGGCTCTGCTGCTGGGGCTGCTGCTGCTCCTGCTGCGTTTCTGGGGGTTGTGCTGGGTTTCTGGGGGTCGTGCTGGGTTTCTGGGGGTTATGTTGGATTTCTGGGGGGTTATGCTGGGTCTCTGGGGGGTTATGCTGGGTCTCTGGGGGGTTATGTTGGGTTTCTGGGGGTATGTTGATTTTGGAAGTCTTTGAGAGGTGAATGCACAAAGCCATGAGGGTTTGACTCTGGGTTTGTGTTTGCTCTTGTCTGCAGTCGCTGCTCTTCAGTGACATCCTCAAAGCCCAGCCAGAGCCACCCTGCCCCGAGAGCTACCCCACGGAGGGAGTGAAGAGGTAAGAGCAGCCCAGGCCTCGGGGCTTCCAGGGAACTCCTGGCTCTGTCTCTTCCCTGGGGCTGCATCCCTCCCCTGTGCCCAGCCCAGCCTGGGCAGTGACAGAGCCGTGGCAGAGCCCGTGCTCGTGCAGACACCAGCTGTGTCTCCCTGGTGGTTTTGGAGCAAGGGGTGCCCCGTGAGCTTTCAGACCAAAGCTGGGCTCGTTCTGCCCCCAGACTGGGCCAGTCCAGGGCCAGCTCTGTCACATCTCAGGGTGACAGCCCCTCCCCAGGGAGCACTGCTTGGCTGGTGACACAGAGGGACCCCGGTGGCTGCCACTTGGAATGGGGTAAATGACAGGGAAAAGGAGGCTGGCAGGGCATGAGGGTGATAATCAGCCTCCCCTAATCTGAGGTTTGGGCTCTCACTTAGCACTGTTAGTCAGCCTTGATTTTAGAGGGTGCCACTGCCTCTCATTCCTAAAACATGAGAGGGATTTCTTCCTCCTTCCACCCCTCTGCCAGGCAGAGCTTTGCTGCTCCAGATACCAAATCAAACCTCCCAGCAGGTAACATTATTTCACCTCCCACTTTTTATTTGCTCCTGAGTCAGCTGACTGGGTGAGTCAGCTGTCAGACGTGGGGATGTTCACACAGCCAGCAGCGGCTCCTGCTCACTGTTTATTTGTGCACTGAAGCTCTCGGGCTCTCCTGGCTCCAGATAAGAGGAGCTGCCAAGCCCATCTTCAGAGATGGCATCACGGGAGGTGGAGCAGGAAGAAGATGGGTTGGTGACTAAACAGGGCACTTGAAGGGTCTGACTGAAGGCTCCTGTACAGGTGGTGGCTTGCACGGATTCCTCCCAGCAGAAACCAGCCGTGGCCTCATGGTTTCAGTGCTCACAGCTGCTGCTGAAGGCCTCAGAGCTGCTGAATTCAGGCTCTCCTTTCAAATTCCCATTGCCAGCAGTGACATCTTGTCTGTGTGTCACCACAAAGCTTTTCTGTAGAGATTAAAGTTGGTGCCCACCACACTGAGGGTCCCCGAGCTGGGATTCTGAGCCCAGTTCTGTGCAACCAAGCAGGTGTTGGTGTCCTGCAGGTCCTCCTTCTACAGCACCATGAGGGGAGAGTCTCCCTGGCTCAGCCAGTGATGGGTATGGCATTGGAGACAGGAGCCTGAGTTTAGGGTGTTGTAGAAGTCCCTTCACAGGGACCCATTTCTGTGTGTTTTGCTGGCTGAGCAATGGTTCTGTTGCCATCCACACACAAATACTGGCTGCAGTCACATCCAGGGGTTTTTAATCCAAAACGGGGTTAAAATGAGGCTGTTGGAGCAGTGCTGCTGCCCAGGGTGTTGGGGAGGATCAGAATGTGCTGTGTCAGGGTGTGTGAGGTGGGGAATGGAGCAGAAACTGGAGCCTGTAACCCGTGGGGTGGAGGCTCCTGGGGCTCTGTTTTGCTTTTGCAGTGAAACAGCAGCTTGTGCTTATTCATCCTTCTCTCTTTGTTCCATCCAAGTGACTTTGAATACACTCTGGGGTCACCCAAAGCCATTCACATCAAATCTGGGGACTCTCCCATGGCCTACCTCAACAAAGGACAGTTCTACCCCATCACACTGCGGACAGCTGGAGACAGCAAATGTTTGCACTTGTCCTCAAATAATCTCTGGGGTGTTATGCTGGGTCTCTGGGGGGTTATGCTGGGTCTCTGGGGGGTTGTGCTGGGTCTCTGGGGGGTTATGTTGGGTTTCTGGGGGTATGTTGATTTTGGAAGTCTTTGAGAGGTGAATGCACAAAGCCATGAGGGTTTCACTCTGGGTTTGTGTTTGCTCTTGTCTGCAGTCGCTGCTCTTCAGTGACATCCTCAAAGCCCAGCCAGAGCCACCCTGCCCCGAGAGCTACCCCACGGAGGGAGTGAAGAGGTAAGAGCAGCCCAGGCCTCGGGGCTTCCAGGGAACTCGTGGCTCTGTCTCTTCCCTGGGGCTGCATCCCTCCCCTGTGCCCAGCCCAGCCTGGGCAGTGACAGAGCCGTGGCAGAGCCCGTGCTCGTGCAGACACCAGCTGTGTCTCCCTGGTGGTTTTGGAGCAAGGGGTGCCCCGTGAGCTTTCAGACCAAAGCTGGGCTCATTCTGCCCCCAGACTGGGCCAGTCCAGGGCCAGCTCTGTCACATCTCAGGGTGACAGCCCCTCCCCAGGGAGCACTGCTTGGCTGGTGACACAGAGGGACCCCGGTGGCTGCCACTTGGAATGGGGTAAATGACAGGGAAAAGGAGGCTGGCAGGGCATGAGGGTGATAATCAGCCTCCCCTAATCTGAGGTTTGGGCTCTCACTTAGCACTGTTAGTCAGCCTTGATTTTAGAGGGTGCCACTGCCTCTCATTCCTAAAACATGAGAGGGATTTCTTCCTCCTTCCACCCCTCTGCCAGGCAGAGCTTTGCTGCTCCAGATACCAAATCAAACCTCCCAGCAGGTAACATTATTTCACCTCCCACTTTTTATTTGCTCCTGAGTCAGCTGACTGGGTGAGTCAGCTGTCAGACGTGGGGATGTTCACACAGCCAGCAGCGGCTCCTGCTCACTGTTTATTTGTGCACTGAAGCTCTCGGGCTCTCCTGGCTCCAGATAAGAGGAGCTGCCAAGCCCATCTTCAGAGATGGCATCACGGGAGGTGGAGCAGGAAGAAGATGGGTTGGTGACTAAACAGGGCACTTGAAGGGTCTGACTGAAGGCTCCTGTACAGGTGGTGGCTTGCACGGATTCCTCCCAGCAGAAACCAGCCGTGGCCTCATGGTTTCAGTGCTCACAGCTGCTGCTGAAGGCCTCAGAGCTGCTGAATTCAGGCTCTCCTTTCAAATTCCCATTGCCAGCAGTGACATCTTGTCTGTGTGTCACCACAAAGCTTTTCTGTAGAGATTAAAGTTGGTGCCCACCACACTGAGGGTCCCCGAGCTGGGATTCTGAGCCCAGTTCTGTGCAACCAAGCAGGTGTTGGTGTCCTGCAGGTCCTCCTTCTACAGCACCATGAGGGGAGAGTCTCCCTGGCTCAGCCAGCGATGGGTATGGCATTGGAGACAGGAGCCTGAGTTTAGGGTGTTGTAGAAGTCCCTTCACAGGGACCCATTTCTGTGTGTTTTGCTGGCTGAGCAATGGTTCTGTTGCCATCCACACACAAATACTGGCTGCAGTCACATCCAGGGGTTTTTAATCCAAAACGGGGTTAAAATGAGGCTGTTGGAGCAGTGCTGCTGCCCAGGGTGTTGGGGAGGATCAGAATGTGCTGTGTCAGGGTGTGTGAGGTGGGGAATGGAGCAGAAACTGGAGCCTGTAACCCGTGGGGTGGAGGCTCCTGGGGCTCTGTTTTGCTTTTGCAGTGAAACAGCAGCTTGTGCTTATTCATCCTTCTCTCTTTGTTCCATCCAAGTGACTTTGAATACACTCTGGGGTCACCCAAAGCCATTCACATCAAATCTGGGGACTCTCCCATGGCCTACCTCAACAAAGGACAGTTCTACCCCATCACACTGCGGACAGCTGGAGACAGCAAATGTTTGCACTTGTCCTCAAATAAAGTGAAGGTAAGAGACAGAGACAGGCTGACAGCTCTGCTGACAGCTCTGCAACGGGACATCCAGCAGCTCCTCTGGCCTGCGAGCAGAGCTGCTGTGAGCAGGAATGGCTTTGTGGCTCACGTTGGCTTCAAGGGATGAGTGGGGTGGATCCAGTCCCACGGGATAATCCTCTGCTGCTCTGCAGAGCCTCCCTGGCAGCTGGAAGCTGTCACAGGAGCTCAGGGGTGCACAAAGGGCCAGGGGGGCCCTGCTGGGAACAGCTCTGAGCCAGGACAGGGTGGCCAGGCCTCGGAGCAGCCCCTGAGGTGGATGTGCCCAAATCCCTTCCCTTGCCCTGCTCAGCTTCCCCAGCATAAAATGTCATGTTTCACATGGCCCTGAAGGCAGGGCAGGATGGAAGGGTCAGGGGCACTGCTCTGCCCTGTGCTGGGCAGGGGCACTGCTCTGCCCTGTGCTGGGCAGGGCACTGATCCCTGTGCTGGGCAGGGGCACTGATCCCTGTGCTGGGCAGGGGCACTGATCCCTGTGCTGAGCTGGCTGTGCTGTGTTGCAGAGCGTGGTGATGATCGTGTTTGACAATGAGAAGATCCCCACGGAGCAGCTGAAGTTCTGGAAGCACTGGCACTCCCGGCAGCCCACGGCCAAGCAGAGAGTCATCGACGTGGGTACGAGGGGCTGGGCTCCTTCTGCCTCCACTCCAGTGCCCCCAGGGCTGCCCTGGCCCTGGGAGCAGCCAGGGGCAGATTTGGGGTGGGAGGCCTCGGGAACGTGGCCAGTTTCAGCCCCGGTGTGAAGTGCTCCTCCCCTGCCTTCCAGCTGACTGCAAGGAGAACTTCAACACGGTGCAGAACATCGAGGAGCTGGCCTACAACGCCCTGTCCTTCGTGTGGAACATCCACGAGGAAGCCAAGGTACAAAGTGCCCGTGCAGGGGGGCTGGGAATGGTCCTCAGCCAAGCTGCAGCTCCCTCCCGAGAGCCCGGGCACACAGAGGTGCCAGCCCCAGCCCTGGCAGGGCAGGGTTTGCTGGCAGGACAGCAGCAGGACCCGAGCCTCAGCGTGTGCTCAGGCACTGCCACGAGCTCACAAACACCCTGGCTACACCCACACTGGCTCAGGGATGTTTTCTTAGTGCTGACGGACAGCTGAAGAAAGGGCTGTGCAGCAGTTCAGGCTCTGCTCACAGGTAGCTGCAGCCTGTTTAAATAAACCCAGCTCAGGGAACAAAGAGCCCCCTTTGCACAGGGGGTGCAGCCGTGCCTGACCACCCTGCTGTGCCCGTGGGGTGTGGGGGGAGCCAGGCAGCTCCCAGCACCCCTGTTCACCTCAAAGCCAGCAAAGTTCATTACAGCCACGTCTTTGCAGCTCTGTTCTCTCTTCTGCATCTCAGAGTCTCATGAACAATTTGTATCTAGTGGGGATTGAAAAACAGATAAAGTAACTAAGGGAAAAAAAAAGAAAAGCATAAATACCCCAAGTCTCTGAAGCTTGGGAAAACCCTGCCTGGCTTTGGGATCTCAATAAGCCCCATGGCAACCTGGGTCTTTTACAACCCAAGAGGTTAACAAATGTCTTCAAGGCAGAGCTGTCAGAAATGGAAATATGTCAGGCATGTGGCAAGCCCTGGGGGCATCTCAGCAAACCTGGATTTAACTCTTAGCAGAAACTCTGCTCACTCCCTGCCTGGGGCAGGGAGAGGTGAGACTTCAGAGAGCTGGGAGGGCTGGGAGTGAGGCAGGAGGGGCCAGGGGCTGGGAACAGGAGGGGTCGGGTGTTTGGGTGTTTGGGTTGGCCATGGCACCTGTTACTTCTGTCTCCTATTAAACTTTCCCCCCCAGTGAAGAGGTTTTCTTCCCTAAGAACTGTCTCGAGCTGACATCAGGTTTCAGGGCTGCAATCCTGAGCTGAGGGAGCTCTGGGAGCTTCTCCACCTGCAAATCTGTCCCCAGGGTCCAGGGGAATTCCAAGGTCACACCAATGAATTGGAGTTTGGAGATACAGTTTGGATTCCAGCCGTGCTCAGCTCTTCTTCCAGAGCTCCCACTGGAGTTAACTCCCTCCTGGTGATAAAGGAGCCCAGTGTGGGATAAATATTTATTTGAGCAGCAGTGCTGTGCAATTCCTGAGGCTGCAGCCTTGCCCTCCTCCCTTCCTGCAGGCCTTTGCTGTCTGAGGGTCCCTTTCAAAGGAGAGATCAGAAACAGCAGCAAGAACATCCCCAGGCAGGGCTTTGGGAGAGCAGAGGCTGAGTTTGAGCTGGAATGGGTGTGGGGGGAGAGGCTGAGGTGGGAAACCAACTGCTCCTGCCAGGCTGGCCCTGGCAGGGCTGCAGGGGGCCCAGCAGCTGCTTTGGCCCTGCTGCCGGGGGGCTTCCAGCAGCACCAAGCTGTCCCGTTTGCAGGTGTTCATCGGGGTGAACTGCCTGAGCACAGACTTCTCCTCGCAGAAGGGGGTGAAGGGTGTCCCCCTGAACCTGCAGATCGACACCTACGACTGTGGCAGTGGCAGCAGCCAGCTGGTGCACAGGGCTGTCTGCCAGATCAAGATCTTCTGTGACAAGGTGCAGCACTCCTTTCCCACCTTCCACAAACCCAGCTGCTCAGAGGCCCCAGGAATAAAACCTGAAAGGCTGTGAGAGCCCAGAGCAGCCCAGACCTCTGACTGTGCCTCACAATAAACTCTATTTTTGACTCTATTTTTGACCAGTTGTTAAATATCAAAAGAGATGAGAATTTCCTTGGAAGTTCTTCCCCAGTCTCAGATATTTCCCATGGAAAAAATTCTCACAGCTATTCTTGTCTGTGTGTTTCATTTGTAAAAGCAAATTTTATTTTTGTTTTTCTAATTTCTGAGTGTCAGAGAGTCCTGCCTTGGGCTGGGGAGGGTCCCTGAGGTGGCCATTCCTGAGTTAAGGCTGCATCCACCTTAAGGTGTCACACCCCAGAGGTGGCCACAGAACCTCTCTTGCCAGTGTTCGAAATGTCAATGTCCTAAATTTTCCTGGATCTTCCCACAGGGAGCAGAGAGGAAGATGAGGGATGATGAAAGGAAACAGTTCCGAAGGAAAGGAAAATGCCTGGACTCCAACAACAACGGTGAGTGCTGTGTGTGCTCCTGCTGGAGCCCCTGTCTGCTTCCCTCCCCAGGCCCCCAGGAGCCCCCCAGCCCCTGGCAATGCTCCTTCCCTCCCCAGGAGCCCCCCAGCCCCTGGCAATGCTCCTTCCCTCCCCAGGCCCCCAGGAGCCCCCCAGCCCCTGGCAATGCTCCTGGCAATGCTCCTTCCCTCCCCAGGCCCCCAGGAGCCCCCCAGCCCCTGGGAATGCTCCTTCCCTCCCCAAGCCCCCAGGAGCCCCCCAGCCCCTGGCAATGCTCCCGGGCTGCCCGGAGGTGCTGCAGGCTCCTGTCCTGCTCCCAGCACGGCCGTGGCAGCCTTGGAAGGGGCTGAGATGACCCGGACTCTCCATCTGTAGGTCTGAAAGGCTGTTTGCTCTCTGGCTTCAGAGGGAACGAGCTCACCTTCCTGCGGCCCGAGAGCGACCTGGAGACGCAGCCCGTGCTCTTCATCCCCAACGTGCACTTCTCCACGCCCCAGAGGTGTGGCTCGGTGAGTGCCGGGGCTGGCACCTCCTGCCAGGCTCAGCAGGGCCCCAGCAGCTGCCAGCCCCAGCGAGCCCTTTGTGGGGCCGGGGTCAGGTCCCTGTCCCGAGTGGCCCGGCCATGCAGCAGTGCTGGCTGAGGTAACCGTGCCAGGCTCCTTCCAGCCAGGTGTTCTGTGCTTTACACACCTGCATGGGACTGCAGGGCAGCAAAAATAGCAGGAGGAGATAAATTATAGCCAAATGTGGCCATCTCATCCCCGTGGGGGGGGGACATCCCCTCACTGTCCTCTGTCCAGTGTCCTCCAGAGCTCCTCAGCATTCCCTGCCTCAGAAACCACTGCCTCAGCTTGTCAAAAACAGGGAATTGGGGGAAGTTCTTTACATTAAATTTCATTTAATCTAAGAAACAGATGTTTGGGTTTAACTGTGTGGGGAAACGGATGGCTCAGGAGGAGGGAAATGATGTTTAAAGTGTGCCCCAGTTGCCTCCCCAGCCTCTCTAGCACACAAACTCACAGATGCATTTCTTTGCATTGCAGGTGCTCCCTCCTGCTGTTCCCAACTCTGCAAACAGGTGAGGATGCAGCAGGGTGTATTTCCCATCCATCAGCTGCTCTGTTCCTTTGGAATGTCAGGGCTGTTGGATACCCCAGGGCAGGATAACACAGCTCAGAGTCTCCCTGATGCCCTGAGAGTCAGAACGAGTTAAACCTTGTCCTGGAAGGGACTCAGGGCTGCAGAAACCTGGACACACTTCTGTCCCTGTCAGAGTCACTCCAACACGAGCTGCTTCCTGATTGTCCCCTTGTTCTCATGGAGACAATGCCTGAAAGGGAGAGGAAAAGATCACAGCTGCCACTGAAGGGCTCAAATCCCCAGAGGCTGGAAAATAAACTGGAATGTACTGGAATCACAGTTGAAAAGCAGAATCTCCCCGTGTGTGCCCCACAGGAGGTGCAGGGGCTCTGCAGCCCCTCCCTGAGCCCCCCTGTGCTGCTGTAATCACAAACCAGTGCTGCATTGCTGGAGGGCTGGTGCAGTGGGGGGCTGGTGCAGTGGGTGGCTGTTGCAGTCAGTGGCTGTTGCAGTGGGTGGCTGTTGCAGTCAGTGGCTGTTGCAGTGGGTGGCTGTTGAGGCAGCAGCTGCAGTGTCCTGCTGTCCCTCTGAGCTGTCTGTCCCCCTGCCCAGGCTGCCCCTCAAGAGGAGCGGGGCCTCCTTCGCCGACGACTTCGAGGCGCTGCCCCCGAAGCAGAGCAAGGACGAAGACCCCCAGAGAGGTAACCCTGGGGTGCTCAGCCCACGGGCACAGGGCCCTGGGGCCCTGCCAGCACCCTGACCCTGCCCTGCTCTCCTGCAGTGCTGCTCTACGTGCGCAGGGAGGCCGAGGAGGTCTTTGATGCCCTCATGTTGAAGACCCCGGACCTGCAGGGCCTCAGGACAGCTGTGAGTGCCCCCAGAGCCCCTGGGGAATGGACAGACTGCAGATCAAAGGGAAGGGGGTGGTGAGCAGGATGTGGGCTGCCCATCTCTCCTGCCTGCTCTCCCTTGGGAATGGGAATGGAGGTGGGAGCAGGAGCTGAGCTGTCCCAGGAGCTCCTGGCGTGGCTGGGCTGTGCTGCAGAGGGAGGCTCACACCTCCTGCCCCCTCCAGATCCTCGTGGAAGTCTCCTCTTGTGACAGCACATTCATATTTTCCACTGCAAACACCTTTTCCATTCTCCAGGCTGGAGATGTGTGCTCTGAAACTCTCCCTGGCCTCGTGCTGGGATTCCCTGGCTGTGTTTGAGGAGCACAAGGACATATTTCTGCCATGGTTATCAGCAGCATCTCTGATAGCCCAGCCCTCTCTGGAGACTGCTGGGAAGGAAACAAACAATAAACCTCCCAGATTTGGGGTGGCTTTATGGCTGCACTCTAAGCTCTGCTGGTTTTACAAACTTCTAAAAATAGGGTGTTTGAAAAACGTCAGCACAGAGCATTCTTTGCCATCCTCTCCTTCCCCCATCCCTCACCACAGAGAGTCAAAAACCTTCATGGAAAATGCTTGGCAAAAACCTACAAAACTCCTGCCACCCCAAGACCAAAGCTGAACTTGCCCAGGAGAATGCTGAGATCATGATTTTGTTCCCTGCAGTGAAACTGAGGGGGAACCCTTTGCTGCTGAGCACCCTGGCTCGCTGTTATCTCTGATTTTTATCATGGGAATTTCACTTTACAAGTATGAGGAATTGCCATGTTTTCTCTCACAGATTTCAGAAAAATATGGGCTTCCTGAAGAAAGCATTTATAAAGTCTACAAAAAGTGCAAAAGAGGGTAAGCTAATCTCTCATCTGCTTTTATGCTTGCCTCCAAACCTGTCCTCTCCAGCCCTGCCATTGCTCCAAGAGCATTTTAACAAGATAATAAAAGGTAGAGCCATGTCAGGCTCTGCTATTTGGAGCATATAAAACTCAGATCTTTCTGGGCTTTAAAGATTTGGGATAATGCTTGTTTGTATTATATTTGTTTGGAGGGTAAAGTCTCCCAAGGAAAGGAAGTTGGGTGAAGGTGGAATTGTTTGGGGAGTCTGATGGTGATTCTTTGTGTCTCAGTCTGAAAGCCTGAGGTTATGGAGAACTTATCAGAGAGGGATCAGTGTTTGCTTCTGCAAAAAGTGCTGGAATGTCCCTGGCTCAGGATGAGGGGTGGCCCATAGTGAGCATCTGAGCTTGGCAGGAGTTCTTCACCTGTGCTGATGCTGCTCATCCCTGAGCCCCAGAAATGGAATTTTCTCCCCAAAGACCAGCCCTGGTGGCTTCAGGGGAGAGGCACCTCACTCAATTTGGCTTTGGCTTTGTTCATGCCTCGATCTGATAAGCAGTGAGGGTTTGGTGATGACTGGGAGGGAAACCAGGCAGGAGGAGCAAAGAGGTGTCTCATGAAAAGGAAAGGCCACGCCTGGAAATTAGATGAAATAAATAATTTTGACACCTGCTTTAATGAAGGCTGGACGTGACCCATGCCAGCAGCTCCTTCTGAGTGTGGGGAGATGGCAGATAGCTGCACTCTGGTGGTGGCAGGGTCAGGCCCAGCTTCCTGCTCCCCCAGATTTAATTTTCAATAATTTTATCCGATTGCTCCACCCTAAACAATCTTCTCCTGGTAATTACAGCTTGAGGGGCAGATCCTCATCTGCTGGGAGCCAGAGGAGCTCAGTGGGACTCCTGGCCTGGCAGCAGGCAGGGCCTGCCCCAGCCATGGCCCTTGCAGGGGGGGAGCTCAGCAGGTGAACGCGGTGCCAGGGTGGCTCAGGAGCAGTTCTGGGTCTTGGTGAGGTTTGGTCTGGAGGGACAATCCAGGGCTGATTCCTGATCAACATCCCTGGGGCCGTTTGGGGTTTACAGATCAGGTGGGAGCACAGCACAAGAGGCACGGGTGACTTCTCTGGCTCCCTGCTCTGACACAGGCACAGGTGAAGGATCAGCTCTGCTGGAGAAGCTTTTGGGGACTCACAGGGTCTCTGTGGGGCACCTGCTGGAGGCCAGGCTGGGGCCCAGGGCTTGGGTGGTGCTGGGAAGATTCCCATGCACTGGGCAGAGCCCGGGCAGTGCCAGAGCCCCGGCCCAGCAGCCCCTGGAATTCCTGACTGTGCCATGACAGAGCTCCCAGGGCTGCTGACTGTTCTGTGCTGCATCTTCCCTTGTGTTGTGCCATGGCTTTAATTAATGAATTCATTCATTAACAGTGGTTGAGCCCCTCAGCCTGGGGAAGGTGAACTGCTTTCACTGTGCTGCATCTGACCCAGCCATTGTTCTTCTCTGTAGGATCCTGGTGAACATGGACAACAACATCATCCAGCACTACAGCAACCACATGGCCTTTCTGCTGGACATGGTAGAGGCAGAGAACAAGTTCCAGATCATCCTCAAAGAGCTCTAAAGAGCTGCAGGCAGCACTTCCTGGCACTTCTCTCCGAGCTGGCACGTGTGCCCCACAGAACTCAGCCCTGTGCCTGCTCTTGTTGCCTTGACTTGAACCCCCACGGCCCCGGGGGCCACAGACTGCTGTGAGATCATCCTGTGAACGTGGAACTTGGCTCTGTTGAGTTTATTATTATTATTATTATTTTTTATTATATTTTATTCCCTTCTGGCACCGGGCCTGAGCTGCCGTTTCAGAGCTGGGCACACCAAGTGGCACTGCCAGGCCTGGGCAGAGGGCAGAGCTGGTGGCCCTGGCAGTGACTGATGCCAGCCCAGGCCTTGGCCTCTCCCAGACCCTGCAGAGCTTTCCCAGCAGGGCTGAGCCTGGCTCTGAGCTCCCCTCTGGCACAGACTCTCCAGATGCAGCCACAGCTCCTGCTGGACGGACACTGCCTGCTGATCCCCCTCCTGCCCCATCTCTGACTGTAAATACCACAGAGGCCTCCACAACCCTGTTTATACATTTCTGTGTTGTCCCTTTTGTATTTTATATGTGTATAAATATGCATTGTTTTATACTGGACTCAGTATGGTGACACAGAGCATTTCAAACACAGGCTGCTTCACATTTCTCGTGAACTCCTTTTGTAACTGTGTTGTTGGTTGTGTTGTTTTGGATTTTCTGTAGTAATAAAGGCTCAAGGACTGAAAAGGAACCATTTCCCCCAGCTCTGGAGTCAGAGTTGGGATGGGCTGCCCAGGAGCCAGGGCAGGGAGGTGACCCCAGGAGCACCAAAGGGCTTGAGGGTGGTTTGGCCAAGGTCTGTGCCCTGTGCAGCCACCGTGCCCAGCTGTGGCACCAGCTGGGACTGGGTCCCTGAGCTCCTTCTGCCCTGTGCTCAAACTGCCTCAAGCTGCTTCCCATTTAGGCCATCAGATGCCAAGGGGAGCCCTGTATTTTCTAATTAATCCTCTGAACAATGAAAACCAGGGCCTTTCCTCCTCCCTCTTCATCCTCTGCCTTTCCTGGCCATGTTAAAGATGCACCTGAGGCCTGTGAGTGGGGAGGAAAGAGCCCTGGGAAGAGGATTTGGAAATGTTGGAATGTGTCAGCTTGGTGAGTTTTGGATTACTTCAGTACTGTTTGAGGCCTCTGAGATGAAGCACAGATAAGCTGGAGGTTTATCAGCCTTTGGGATCTCCCCAGCACTCCTTCCCTTCAGATCACAAACTCCTTCTTCAGCAGGATGGCTCTGAATCAGTGTTGATTCTGTGAGTCCTCCTGCAGCAGAATTTCAGCTCCGGTTAAAACCAGTCCCACCAGGAACCCCCCAGTGCCCGTGGCACAGCTGGAAGCTGCAGTCCCTGTCCCTGCTGTGTCAGGGGAGTGTCAGGGCCCTGCTCTGGGGTGGCTCTGGGCCAGGGTGTGCCATGGGGACAGCTGGCTCTGCTGTGCAGGCAGATGGGGAGGGCTGCAGGCAGCCCTGGGCTCTGTGTGCACGCAGGGTTGGGGGTTTGGGGACCTCTCACCCCTCGGTGAGTTGCTCTGAAAGTCTGATTTTCCTGCCAGATAAAATTTACCCATCAGAGCCTCAGTTCCTCCAGCAGCACCACTCCTGATTTACAAAAGCCATCTCAGTTGTAACTTCATGCTCCCAGCAGAGCAAGGATGAATTTTGCTGGATGCTCTGGGGCTCCCTTTCCCACAACCCCCCCGGGTTCTGCAGGGTGAGCCCCACGCTGGCTGCAGCTCCCGAGTGTGCCCTGTGGGAGTGGTGGGATGGAGGCAGAGGCTCCGTGCAGCTCGGGGCAGCCCTGGCTGGGCCGGGCTGAGGTCCCGGCGCAGGGAAACGCTGCCGGGGAGAGTCCCCGGCCCTGCCCGGCCAGGTGGGTGTTTTGCTGACTGGCTCAGTATCGCTCATCCCTTCCAGCCAAGGAGCTGCTGGGGGTTGCGCAAAGAGCTCCCAAATATGTGAGAGCATTCCTGACTCCTCGCCCGGAGCCCACCAGCTCCTTTTGAAGATTGAGATGGGAGCGATGGAGGCACCAAAGGTCGTGTGAAAGCAGCAGGGTTTGCACAGGGAGCTGCCGGCCCTGCTTTGTGCTCGGAGCTCACCTGGGCTGCCCTGGGGGTGCCACGGGGGGCGTGTGACAGACCCCCGTGCCCGTCCCTGGGCCTGGCACCTGCCCCTGCCCTCCTCCCTCATTCCCACCCCGCTCCCCTCCAGGGTGACTCCCCAGCCTCCAGCTCTGCGAGTTCTCAGGAAAACACAGAGGAGCCCATTGCCTGTTTTAATGACTCGGCCTCTACAAAACTGGAGGTTTCAAACCAATTTTAGTTAATGATCATCTTCCAATTCTTAGAACTGAGTACCACTAATTAGCTGCCCGTGAGGCAGCCCTGGCAGGCCAGCACAGGCCTGCTCATGGTGAGCAGAGTCTGAGGGAAATCCTGACACAGGAATCCCACTCTGGCATCCCAGCTGGGGAGCAAGGAAAACTTCCCGAGTGCTCCTGGTGAAAAAGTGCCCACAGAGACAGAGGTGCATGAAAAGGAGCAGCAGGCTGAGAGCTGAGTTGTGCAAGAGCTCTGGTATCCCCAGCGCTGGGTGGAGGGCTCTGCTCCTCACTTCTACAAACAACACCCAGTTTCTGTGTCTTTATTCGTGCTTATTCACTGCTTGCATCATCAGGCAGGCAGCTGAGGAGCTCTGTGTGGTGTGGCTCTGCAGGCTGGGAAGGAAAAACAGCATCCTGTGTTTGTTAGGACACCCACACTCCTGTCCGGAGGTGCCCTGGGGTGTGCTGGGCATGGGAGGAGAGGATTCAAGTCAGGGAAGTCAAACCCTGCCTGCATCTGTTTGTGAGTGTGCAAAGCTTTAATAAACCTGCTCAGGGTTCCCCCAGCTCTCATTTGTTTCCCCAGGTAGTGCCTTGGATTTGTAGAATTAAATCCTGGGTGAGCTGGGCACTAGAACCCCCAGAGCTGTGGGCATGCCCTGGAGTCACCAGCTGGAAAGTGGCCACAGAATCAGAGCTCAGGGCTCAGCTCAGGGTGCACAGGCTCGGGATTCACCTCAGAGAGCTGAGGGTTGGCTTGGCTGCACTTCTGGCTGGGAGTCCTGGGAATGCTGAGCCCAGCTGCATGAACTGCTGAATACCAGCCTTTGGTAAAGCTCTGTGCCAGCCCCTGCCTGACTGAGCTGACTGAGCTGTGCCAGCCCCTGCCTGACTGAACTGACTGAGCTGTGCCAGCCCCTGCCTGCCTGAGCTGTGGGTTTGCCTCCTGTGGCTCTGCTCTTTGGGGCACAGCCCGGAGCAGCTCTGTGTTCATGCCCTGCTGGGGCATTGCAGGGTTCCTGATCCACGTGCCGAACAGACTGATGAAAAGCAGACTCCTGTCTACTCTCCCAGCAATTCATAACCTCGCAGAAGGAGCTGGGGATCTCAGAAGAGATAAACAGGGCCAGAAGTGAGTGTGAATAAGTGAACAATTAACGCTGGCTGAGCCTGACAGAGCGAGCCAAGGGCACGGAGCATCCTGCGCGCCCCGCCCCGGGCTCTGCCTGCAGCCCGGGATGGCCCCGGGCAGGGACCAAGTGCCCAGGGATGGCTCTGTGGCTGCCTCTGCCTCAGCAGCGCTGCTGGCAGGGTCGGCAGCCAGCTCTGCTCTGCCAGGGGCTGTGTTTAACCCGTTCCTCTCTGGGCTGGGTCCCTCCTCCTGCTTCCCCAGGCATTTCCTGACTCCAAGCTGCAGGATGTGTTTCTTCTCCCATTTCGCTCAGCTCTGGGTGAGGAAGGCTCTGGTGAAGCCAGAGCAAAGGGGTGCTGGGGGTTCTGATGCTGCTCTCTGCCCCCACCCTGTCCCAGCAAGGGCTCCCCTCTTCCCATCCAAGAGAGGAATTCTGCAGCTGGAATGTGTTGTACCAACAGTCAGTGATGTGAGTTTTACACACACAGAACTCACAGAACCTGTTTGTCCAAAGCCCTGACAGTCAGTGATGCTTTAATGGCCTTTACACTGCAAACATGCTTTTATTTTTTCAACCTTACCTTTAAAAATAATATTGTAAAATATGAACAAGCCAAGCTGGACAAGGAGCAGGTAGTGAGGACTCCAGAGCTGCTGTGTGGCCCTCAGGGTGATGCTTAATCCTTCTAAGGCAAAATCTTTGGGAAATGGGAGTGCTATGGGCAGCCCATGATGTTTTTGTGAAATTAATGAATTTGCCACGGTGCAGCCTTGCAGGGAGCTGGCTGCTCCCTCTCCAGACAGTGCTGGAACAGGACAGGGATGCCAAGGACCCCAGCTGGGAGCTCCTCCTGCTTGCCACTGCCTGGGACAGCAGAGGGAGCAGGCTCTAGCCCTGGCAGCTGGGTGTGGAGTGTTTGTGTTGTTTTCTGATAACAGGCTGGGGATCTTCCCTCCTCATGTTTAATTTGCCCTTTCCTCCAGCCCTCTGTCCTTATCAAATCCCTCCTGGCATTGCTTCCCTCCCAGCTTCCTTTTCCCCAAAGCCCTGATAGAAGATCCAGCTGCTGAGAGATGTAGTAAAGATTGCCCTGTTGGGTAAGGAGAGCCCTGGGCTTTCTCATGGGCTCATTCTTTTCCACGGGCAGGAATTTATTGATGATCTTAATCTCAGGCCTGCAACGTCACTCTGTGGTGACAATAAATGTTTTTGAACCATCTGCTGATGGATTTATTTGTCTTCCCATGAGGATCCCAAGGGGTGGGAGGGTTTGGGAGAAGGGAGTTTCTGTTCATGCCTTTTCATCCCTCTGAAGTGGTGGCAGGATGGAGTAGCTGGGCTTGGCAGTGCTGCTTTCCAGGAAGCATTTTTACAGGCCTCTCTCCAGCCCTCATTCCCAGCCCAGCAGGAGAAATGGCCAGTTTTTATCCATGGTGAGTGTCCCCCACCATTCCTGCCCCGGGTACCACATTTGGGTCTTTGCCCTCACATTTGGGTCTTTATCCTCAGTGTTCCTCTGGGGAGAGCTCAGGCACAAAGCAGCCCAGCCTAAAGCCTCTGCCTGGGATGTGAGGAATCTTTTTCCAGGTCAGGTGTGCTCTGGCTTCTTGCTCCATGCAATGGGGATAAGAAGTGGCCCCCACATCCCAGGGTGGTGCAGGTTTAATTACTGTTTGTAAATGTCTGGGAGATCAGCTGATAAAGGGCCCCTGATCCACTGCTCCAGGCTGTTCCCAAGCCACACTGCCCTTCCAGGCACTGCCACTTCCTGGGGACAACAGCCATCCCCTCTGGACCAGGACACAGGGGGACACTGGCATCACCCTCCTGGGATGGATTTTCACATATCCATGGCAGTGGGGTGCCTCCCAGGCTGCACTCACCTGGAAGGAGTTTTCTTTGCTTCCCTGGTGCCTTTGTGTGGCTGAGGCTGCAGATTCTGGAATAAATCTGGCAGAAATTCCTTGTTCCTTGTTAGGTGGGAAGTGTTTGACTGGAAGGAAGATGTCATTGCCTTGGTGAGGGAATCCATGTTGGGATGACCTACAAGACAAACAGGAAAGGGATGTAAACACCAGCCCAGGCACTGAGGAAGGAGAGTTCATCCAGCAGGGAATGTGCAAAGGAAAAGAACCGGTGTGACAGGAGCGTGTGGGGAAGCTGCTGCTGGACTGGAGAGGTGCTGGGCAGAGCTGATTTCCAGGGACACTGATAAGGCAACACTGAAGGCAGTCCTGAGCCCAGGAACAAAAGCACCATTAGCAATTTCAGGGAATCAAAGAGGAGAGCTCCCAGCTGCTGTCAGCTGCCAGATAAACTCTGTGCCCTCAGCCTCAGCGGGCCAAGGGCCAGGAGATCCTTTGAAGCTGGGTACATCCTGCACCAAGGTGGCTTCTCCTGAAGTCTGTGGCATTCCCAGTGTTGTGTTCTGGTGATTCCTTGCAGCTACCCCAAAGTCCCAGGGTGGTTTCTGGATGGTTCTCCCAGCAGAGTTCAAAGGGACCTTGCCAGTGTCCTGTGACACTTCAGCCCAGCGTGCCCTGGGGAGCTCTGGATGTGCAGGGGCTCCATGGGGGAGCAGCACCACCCTCCCTCCCAGCTCCAGGCTCACACACATGGACAAAGCCATTTTCCAAACGTTTCCAAATTAACTCCTCCTGTGGTTTGGGCCACAAACACTGCCAGGGCAAAAGTGGTGTTGCTTTGCTTGCAGAAATGGTGAGTTTCAGCAGGAAAAAGGGCTTGGGGATGCCTTTGAATTGCCTTTAGCTGTAGGTGATGAGCAACAAAGGCAAAGGCACATTTCTAAGGCAGATGTCTCCTGTGCGTGGTTCCAGCTGCAGCAGCACTCACACCAAAGCCTGGAGAGCTTCCCAAGGGGAGGAAGAGCTCTCTGTGACTGCCCAGGACTTGACACAGCAGGAAATGTCTGTGTGTGTGGCTGCTGTCCACAGTCCTCCATCACCTCCATGGGTCTGATTGTGTTCAGGGCCCAGAATTCCAGGAGAGGGAATTTCAGGAATCTGTGGTGCCAAGGGTTGTGTGAGTTACCCCAAGTCACAGAACAGATCACAGTGACATGGGACAAAATCCTTCAGACTGCCAGGATGAAGCTTTACCTCCTGATCCTCCCCTGGGATTGAAAGCTTTTCTTGTTGACTCTCAGACTGACTTTCCTAGTGGACTGTGATGAGAGGAAACATCTGATGGCCAGGCCTCATCAGTGATGTGGGAGTGTCCAGTTCAAGCCAGAGAGGAGAGGGGCAAGAAAACTCCTCTATTACAGATTCAGACACAAAAAGGTGATGCTTTTCCCCTTTTTTTCCTTGTTTCCTATGGCAAGCTGGTGACATGCTGAGATGTTGAACTGCCTTTGTTGTAACACAGGGTTTGGTCCCAGAGCTGAGGATGGCTTTGAGGTCTGTTTGGACACTTTTTCCTTGTTTCTCACTCCTTTTTTTTCCCTCTCAGTTTTAATCTGTCACTCAAAACCAGATCCTCCAGTGACTACACAAATGTTCCTTTCTGCTGAGTGAGAGCAGTGACCACGAACCTGCAGGATCTGTCCACCTTCTTCTCCTGAGCTATCTCTTTGTCTATAGTCATAAATTATCAGCCACTGCCATCTTTTAAATAGATAGTTTCCTGTTCTGCCTCTTGTAGGTTAGATATTATCTCCCCCAGTAAATCATGAGTCAGTGATTAATTCAAGAAGGCCGTTCCCAGAAGCAAATTCTTACAATGTTAAAATTAATACGATGCAGAGCCATTATACCATGATAGAGAAAATAATTATGGCCTGCAAAGCAGTTTAATCAACACAGAACATGCTGGGGCAGGTGCCCAGCCTGAGTCACTGCAGAGAGTCCAGAGCCCCAGAGCAGGGGCTGTGAGAGAACAGCCCTGGGACCACTCTGGGCTCTGCACACCCCGACTGGCAGGGAAAACACTCTGCTGATGTGGAAACACCATCGAGTGGCTATAAAAGCGTGAATTGCTGCAGGAACGTGCTTGCAGGCAGTTAAGGTGTCTCAGCTGATGAGTGGCAGCTTATTAAGCTGATTAAGTTGTGTGCTCACTCGGTGTTAAGCAAAGTCATGGCATATTCTGGAGCGTGCCTCAGCACAGGAGCTCTGTGAGAGGGGACAGCTCACTGGGAACGCCTCACAACTGGGGGAAACTCAAAAACTCCCTCTAGAAATAACAAAACCCCAAAGCAATCCGTGATACAGCAAGACACCACACCGGGGACAAAGCACCCAGGAGGTGTGTGTATGTCATCACAAACATCTGATAATGGCTAATGACACTCGGTGCTCATTAACAGCTCCCACATCTCCAAACACCCGAATTCCTGTGGATGGGGCCTCGCAACGCCCTGTGCAGCCCGGGCACCCGAGGGCTGGGCAGCAGGCACAGAACAGTTAAGTGACTTGCACAAGGGTGAATCAGCAGGACTTGAGGAACTCAACCTGAAGGCAGGTGCTGAGCTGCAGGAACTGACACAGCTCCCAGCAGTGCCACCAGGTGAGACCCTGCGCCCCTGAGCCCAGCAGTGCCACCAGGTGAGACCCTGGCACAGCTCCCAGCAGTGCCACCAGGTGAGACCCTGCGCCCCTGAGCCCAGCAGTGCCACCAGGTGAGACCCTGCGCCCCTGAGCCCAGCAGTGCCACCAGGTGTCACCTGCGAGTGTCTTTTTGGAGTTAGGGTGGCCAGAGCCAGACCCACCCTTCCAGCACCACACCGCTGGTATTATTGTGTTTCCTGTCACACAAATTTCATGCTTTAATTTTAACTGTGCATCGAGGTAGGTGCCTTCAGAGTTTCAAGATTTTAATCCTTTAATGCAAGCCTCCTGTTGCATGGAAAGCTGAGTGATTCTGGGCATGAGGAAGATCAAATTTCTCTGCTGTCTACAAGGCAATTTGTATAGACTGGGAGCCACAGCACATCTAAAATCCCACCTGTAACTTCTGAGCTGGGCCTAATTAATGCAGCATGTGGGCAGAATGCTTTATTTGCAGTACCACACCTTTCCTGCCTCCCTTCTTTTCCTGGGCTTTTCAAAAAGAGTACTGGGCAGGATTCTATTTATAGAGCCAAATAAATCCAGCCCTGCCTGTGCTGTACGTGATGCCTCCAGCTTTTCAGATGTGGTCCCAGGAAGGGCTGAATGCCCTTCATGTCCTACTTTGCCAATCCCAGTGGGAATTGGAAGGTCTGGGACCATAGAAGATAAAAGAACAGCTTTATACTAACACAAATGTGGAATTATTCCAGTGCGTAGGATGGGAAGAGCTGAAGTTCCTGGTCTTTAGGAACATTGTGTGAACTTCATTAATTGTCTTGTCTGCCAATTACCAATGAAAAACACTCTGGAGGTGCCTTGGTCTTGTTCTGCTGACTTGAGAGTTGGATTCTGGCAGTGACCTGCTGTCCCCTCCCTGAATGGCACAGGAGGCACAGAAGAGGGGAAGGCCTGGGACTGCAGAATGAGACAAATGAAGCACTGGGGCATAGCTGCACTCATACAGACGTGAGCATGATGGGGTTTAACTGTGTTTGGAGGGAGCAGGGAAGAGGCCAGGCTCAAAGAAGGGAATGCGTGAGCCAAGGGCTGATTAAAAACCCCATCCAGATGGAACCTGTGCTTAGAAACAGCAAGCCTGGAATGACTCAAAGCCCTCAAGGAACAGCCAGGAATGGCTGGGAGGGGAATGGAGGCTCCTGCTCTGCCTGGCCTCGCAAAGGGCTGAGGGGCAGAGTGGCAGGGATGGGCAGCAGTGCTGGCTGCTGCAGAGGGTGCTGATTTACAGTGAGATCACAGGGAACTCCTCCTGCTCCCTGCTTCTCTCTCAGCTGAGCTGTTCCTGGCTGCATGCATGGACAAGTGGAACGGTGCTGCTGTGGTGCTAAAAATAACAAACCCCAAATACGGGCCATGCCATGAAAACTGGGAGAGCTTGGCAAGGAATCAGACCCCAAGGAATCAGTCTTCTGGTGGATTCAGCCTTTCCTGCAAAAATGCCCCCCAAGTTATCAAGCAGCTGGGTACAAATCACCTTTTCCACTCATTTTTCTTTGTAGGAAAACGCTTCAGGACAGACCAAAACTTGAGGTCTGTGCTGCAACTGCATAATTTCAGCAGAGCTGCTCTGACTTGGGCTGCTCCAAAACTACAGGAGATTTCTGAAGATGTGGTCTGAGGGTTCATCTGCAGGGAGCAGGATCCTGGGCCAGCTGCTCCTTACCAACCACCAGGGCCAGCAGAGAGCCTGCACTGCCCTGGCCACAGGGTCCATCTCCACGTGGCCCTGCCATGTGCTTGAGGCTGTCCAGCCCGTGCTCTGTGGCCAGGAGGGTTGTGCTGAGGGAAGCAGGACCTGCCCAATTCTGCTGCAGCTGATTATTAAAATTGCAGCAGGTTTCCAGAGCAGCTGATAAAAAACTGCATCTGCAAGCTCCTTCTGCCTTTGTGCTGCCAGGCTTGGAGGGCTGGATGCAATCCCTGGCCAGCCAGGGCAGCTCCTGCTGGGCAGCACGTTCCTGATTCCTGCCAGGACAGCACGTGCTGGGGAAGGGCTCTGGAGCCCTTCTCCCCTCTGGGTTTGGCACATCCATCATCACCCCGCTGCTGCTGAGGGTAACTGGAGATCAGGCACCTCCACAGCCGTGGAGATTCAGCTCCTGCACGCCCCAGAGTGCCCTCAGAGTGCAGGAATTGTGTTTGGGTGATGCAAGGGCACGGTGCTGCCAGGGAAACCCAGCAGCAGCTCCCAGTGCCTGGCTCCTGCAGGGATGTGTGCAGGCAGGGCTGGACTGGCAGAGTGACACAAGTGGGTCAAGTCAGCTCTTGGGTGTTCTAGGTCAGGCACTGAGAGACAAATGAGCTCTTTCCACTGCCTGAATTACAAGTGGGTAACTTCCTGTGCTGGCATTTATCCCTGACTCCAGGAATGTGCTCCAGAACGGCTGAGGGGGGCACAGCCAAGCCCCTCACAAGTCAGCAGCCCCCAAAAGGTCCCCAAAAGTGCCTCCCCTCCTGCCCTGCTGCAGGAACTCTTCTGCAGGGATAAAGCCTAGCAGAGAAGCAGCCAAGCCCTTGTGTAGTTTGTGGTCTGGCCTGCTGCCCGCTCTGCCCTTCAAGCAGGAAATTCTCCAGGGGCAGGGAGTGCTTTGAGGAGCTCCCTGCAGCCTCTCTGCCCTGCTTTAGTCACAGCTCAGCAGCAGGTCAGCTGGCTCTGCTGGAAGCTCACCAGGCAGACTGATGGCGCCTGCACAAAGTCTTTAAGCAATTTCTGCACCTTGATCATTTTCCCCTCATCTTTTTTTTGTCCTTTACGTCCTTGATTGCTGTTATTCAGCCCAGAGATAATGCACTCCTGCTATCACTGAGATGGGAGAGACAAGCAAGGAGCAAGAGATCAAAGGCAGGAGAAGAAAGAGAAGATGCTAAAGGCAGGAGAAGAAAGAGGGGAAGATGCCAAAGACTTCCTTGATTCACCTACTTTCCATACCGGGTACCGAGTCTCAGAAATCCTTCCTGTGGGTAATTTTGGAAGTTGTGGGGTCACCGCGCGGTGCCCAGACAGCGGGAGGCTGTGGAGGGATTCCTGCTTCCCCCAGCCGAGGAAGGTGCATCCACAAAGCCCAGGAGGCCCTCGGCACCTGCGAGGGAACGCGCTGGCTTTAACGCGTCCTTCTGCTTCCCTCTGCTGGTGGCAGGAGGGAGCATTCCCCAGGGCTGGGGTGCGGGGACAGGTCACCCTGGCGGTGTCCCCGCCAAGGAAGCGCAGGGTGTGCGTGCTGCAGGGCTCAAACCCCCGGGACAGACAGGGGGACACAAGTGACACACCACCTGCAGCCATTTCCAGCCCGAATCCACTCACGTTGCATTGGCACCTCTCCTGTGACTGTAAAGTTAATTTAATGACCTTGATCCAAATTTGGTTGCTGTTTCTGTCACAGAACAGGATCATTATCAGTGGCAAATAAAACCCCTCATAAGCTTCAAACATTTCTGTTACTCACTTGGTTATACTGAAATCCCTTTGATTGAGACTGAAATCTCTTTTTCCCCCATTTTGAGATCCCTTTCCTGTGGTGTTTATAAGGAAATCCTGACACCTAAGAAGAGCAGCCAAGGCTAACAACACTGAATATGGAGCTGGAGGAAACATGAGAACACAGCAGCAGCTCTGCTTTGGAACGGGGTGGGTGAGATAAAGGCAAATCCAACATTAATGCAGCATTCCTGCCAGAAACCAGCAGTCACTCCTGCATTTCATTTCCCTGCTTTATTTAAAAATACCCTTGGAAGCACTGCTGTTGGTGAATGTTTTCTTTGATTGCATTTCTTATTCCCTTGTGCTGGTTTATCCCTAAGAGGGGGAAATCTGGGCCTGGAACTCTTCTAACCCACTGTGGCTATAAATAATTGCAGATAGCCTTTGATTTGCTCCAGAAATGAACCCAGGTTGTGCTTTGAGTGAAAACCCTCGGTGTGGTTGATGTTTTCACCCTCAGCTCTGTGCACAGTGCTGTTTATTGCAGCCTGGAGCGAGTGGTGCTGCTGTGCCAGAGGCACCTCGTGCATCCCCGGGCTGGAAAGGCGCTCACAGCCACGCGTCCAGTGCCACCACCCAGGGCAGAGCGGGGCTTGTTTCTGAGCTCAGTGCCGGCTCTGAACGCGCCGGGGCTGCAGAGCTGCCCAGCTCAGCCATGGGCTCTGCTGTGCCCGTGGAGAGAACTCGGGGCGATGGCTCGGGGGCTGGGGGAGCCCGGGTGAGGGATGGGGTGAGGGATGAGGGGAGGGATGATGTGAGGGATGGGGTGAGGGATGAGGGGAGGCCCTGAGGCCTCACCGGGGCCGCCACCGGAAGTCGCCTCACGCCCCAGCCCCGCCCAGGTGCGGCGGCGCGGGGCGCGCTGGGAGCGGCGGGTGGGTACCTGAGCGGCTGAGGCGGCGCGGGGGCACCGGGGCGGTCCCCGGCCGTGCTCAGGGGCGGTGTGCGCTCTGTGTCCGCCCGTTCCTGCCGGTACCTGCCCGTCCATCCCCGGCCCGCGGCGGCACCGGGAATGCGGACACCCGGTTGCCGAGACAACAGCCGCCTCAGCTCTCCTCCAATCACCGTGCGTGTTACTCTGAGCTCTGCCGCAGGCACCCAATCACAGGCGAGCTCTCAGCGCCACAGCGGCTGGTTTAAGGTGGCTCGGTGGGGTGCTTTGCGCATGCACCTTAAGGTGGCTCCGGCTGCTCTTCGCGCCACCGGGAGCGGCGCACGCGGGGAGGGCGGGAGGAACGGGGACCACCGAGGCAAAGCGGAGGAAGGCGCGAGGCTGCGGCTGTCCCTGCAGCTCTGGGCCGGGGAGCGCCTCGGAGCACCGGGCGGGGCCCGCCTCATCCCGCTCCGAGCGAGCGGCGGAACACGGCTTCTTCCGCCCGGCCCCTCACAGCCCTGCGCCCATAGGCTGGGCCAGACCCCACCTCCGCCCGGCAGCCAATCCTCGTCCGCATATTGGGGCCGGGTCTTTGATTGACAGCGCTGGAGACCAATCGGGTGCGGCGGGCAGGAAGCGGCCGCGGCGCTCGACCGGGAGCCGGAGTTGGTGACCGGGGCCGGGGGCAGGGTCGGTGAGGGCCGGGGGCAGAGCAGCCCTGTGGTGCTGTGAGATGCCAGCGCAGTGTGTCACCCCCGGGCCCAGCCAGGGCACAAGAGCTGGCAAAGCACAGTCCCTGAGGTTCTGTCCAAGGCTTTCTAAGATATTTAAAAGCTGCTTTTCTTTTTTACGTGCAGCTTTGAGTTTGATTCCAGGGGTGTTTCTGTGGCTTGTCCTTCATTGCAGGTTTTTGAGTTTGATCTAATTCTTTGGGTTTTATTTCTTTTTTTTTCTCTTAGATTCACCTTGAAGGAACACTGCTCCTTCACTGGGTGGCTGGCAGCTGTGCTCATCTACCCCTCTGTGCCCGAGCCAGGGCAGGGCAGCAGCAGGACTCCTTTGTGCTCCCCTGGACTGGCCCAGGGCACCAGGATGGATGGCAGGCACTGGTACCAAACGTTGGTTCCAGCAAGGTCCAAGTCTCTTCTTTAAAGAGAACTTCCAGCATCAAGAAAGCTGAAAAGCAAAGAAAAAACCCCAAAATGGAAGGAGGGAACAGCCTCAGTGTGCAGCTGCAGCAGCTCCCGTTGGCCACAGCAGCAGTTTCTGTGCAGCCCCACACAGACTCCTTCTCCTACAAGGTCAGCTGCCCAGCCCTGAGGGAGGGTTCCATCCCCTGGAGGCCCTGATTCCTGCAGTGAGCTGCTTTGGGGTTATTTCCTGCAGAAAGGGCTCTGTCTTTGAATTCAGCCCTTCCTGGGGTGTCCTGTCCTGTGCTGAGAGGGAGGAATGCAGTGTGTGCAGAGCAGAGGAGCTGCAGGAGGTGTGCCAGGGAGCTGTGGGGGTGTCTGAGTCCCACAGGGGCCTTTCAGCCATGCAGTGACAGAGCAGAGGAGCTGCAGGAAGTGCTCTGGAGGTGTTTGAGTCCCACAGTGACAGAGCAGAGGAGCTCTGGGGGTGTCTGAGTCCCACAGGAGCCCTTCAGCCGTGCAGTGACAGAGCAGAGGAGCTGCAGGAGGTGTGGCAGGGAGCTCTGGAGGTGTTTGAGTCCCACAGTGACAGAGCAGAGGAGCTCTGGGGGTGTCTGAGTCCCACAGGAGCCCTTCAGCCGTGCAGTGACAGAGCAGAGGTTCTGCTTTGCTGTGTCCTCTGTGTTTGAATTGCAGAGGCTGCAGCTGCCTGGGACGTGGGGCTGCAATTCCTCCTTGCTCTCCAGCTGGGAGCACATAAGTTCCCTCTGAAGCCCTGATTCTGAAGGTGCTCAGAGAATCTCAGCAAAAAGGGGTTTTATTTTCCTTTGAGACCACAGTCCTGGGCCCTCGTGGCTGCCTGAGGCTGTGACAGCCCAGGGAGCTGCACTGTGGGCACACAGTGACATCCTCCTGCCACCCTCTCTCTGTCTGGGAACCCTCTCAGGTGGTTCTGAGTGAAGCTCTTTGGGTGAATCTTATTTTTGTGCATTCTGAGAAAGAGGTTTTTGTTCTGCTGCTACGAATTTGAAATCTGGAAGTTCTTCTGTGTATGAGAAAATCAAGATTAGTGCATTTATTCCTGTTCACATCTGAGTGGGAGCTGGGTTATCCCAAATCAACCCAAGGACTGGGCTGAAGGAGCAGTGCTAATGACCTTTAATGAGGTTTAGGCAGTTTTGGGAGCACACAAATGTTTGCTGGCCTCAGGCTCTTCTCTTCAGTCCTCCTCTGCATCTCCTGTGTGACTCAGCCTGCTTTACATCCTTTCTTCATTTCAAATTCCATCTTCAGAGCATGAGAATTGTTGCTGAGCTGCAGATGCCAGTGCAGAAGAGGCTGGGAGCTGTCAGCAGCCTCCTGTGACTCTGGGAATAACTGGTTTGTAGAAAAAGCAGATTAAAATCTGTGATAACTGGGCTGCCTCATCACATGGGCTGAATCAGTGACTGAGGCAGCAGCTGGCACAAGTGGAGAAGAGCAGAAGAGCTGGGAAGCAGAGGTTCCTGATCCTTCTCTGCAGAATTCCAGGGCAATAAAATCCTCATAAATGAGTTTTTCAGAGGCAAGAATGAGTGATGTGTGGGGATTTTTAGCCTTATCTTGCTCCTCTCTGAGAAACTGCAAATTGAAGTCTCTTGGAGAAAGTGGCTGTTGAGTCTTATCTTAGCTGAGTTCACAGGTTGGAGCACAGGCACAGCACTTCCCTGAGCTGTCCCACATCAGCAGGAAGACAACAGCTTTTATTGCCAGCTGGGTGTTGCACCAGCTCACCTTTAAAGGCCCTTCCAGCCCAGGCTATTCCATGATTCAGGAATGCTTTAAAGGCTGCTCTCCTGCAGAGTGTGCAGACCCCTCTGGGATCCTTGGCTGAATTTAATCATTTAATCATTTAATAATTGTGTGTTCCCTTTGTTTCTGCAGGAGAACTTGATTGGGGCCCTCCTGGCCATTTTTGGGCACCTTGTCAGCAGCATTGCCCTCAACCTCCAGGTGAGTGCCCTGCAGCAAATACCCATCCTGCACTGAAACAAACAAACAAAACATGACAAAGTGCTTCATTTCTGTTTTCTTGCCTAGAAATACAGCCACATCAGGCTGGCAGGCTCCAAAGACCCCCGGGCCTACTTCAGGACCAAGACGTGGTGGAGTGGCTTCCTGCTGCTGCTGCTGGGGGAGCTGGCAGTGTTCTCCTCCTATGCCTTTGCCCCCCTCTCTCTGATTGTGCCCCTCAGTGCAGTGTCTGTCGTGGGTAAGGAGGACAGAGCCCAGTGTGTTCCTGGGGGAGGCTCCTGACTCCAGAATTCACTGTTTCTCTCTCCTTTTCTTTTCTTTCATAGCTAGTGCAATCATAGGAATTATATTTATTAAAGAAAAATGGAAGCCCAAGGAATTTTTGAGTAAGTTCCACAGTTTCTTTTCATTCTTCCTCTGTGTTTACAGTTCATCACACACAGCACGGGCCCTCAGGAATTATAATTACAGGGCTGGCAAGGTCTCATTAGCACATCTTGGATGAAATGTGTCATCTCTTCCACTGTTTATTACAAATGGAGATCTTTTTCCTGGCTTGTGCCAGACCCCCTGAACCTCACAGCGTTTAGAAACAGGCTGAAGCTGCAGCACAGGCACAAGGGAATGAATTCCAAGGTGTTTGCAGAAGTGGGGAAGGGCTGTGGGCAGTGCCAGGCAGGATCACAGACCCTGCAGTTTCATTTATTTAGCAGATGCCACCTGGTACCAACTTTGTCTCAGCTCCCACCCCCTCACTGCCCCTGGTGGCTGCAAGATTTTGGAGGTGGGGCAGCCAGAGGAACACCCAGCGATGGTGCTGTGGGATTAATTCATTAATTGCACCATCCCAGTCCCTCATTAACCCTTCCTCTCCTGTTCCTGTGCTGCCCAAGGGCGCTACGTGCTGTCCTTCGTGGGCTGTGGCCTGGCAGTTGTTGGCACTTACCTGCTGGTGACATTTGGACCCAACAGCCACGAGAAGATGACAGCAGAAAACATCACCAGGCACTTAGTGAGCTGGCCATTCCTGCTCTACATGGTGAGGGGCCGTGGAGGGTGGGGGTTTCTCCTGGGGCAGTTTCATTTCCAGCTTTGTTTCTCCTGGTTGCTGCCAGTGTTCCCTGTGTTCACCTGGGACAGCTTTTCCATGTGTCAGACACATGCACAGCTCCTTTTGTTTCTCTGAATTCTGGGGGATTAAATGGCTTTGAAAATGTACTGGTGCCTGAATCTGGGCTTTTGCCACACTGACTTTCTCTGGGCCCACGAATCTCTTACTGAAAATCCCATGAAATTTGTGTTTCAGTGAAGATGATCTTGGCATTGCCCCAGGGATCACTTGTGGAAGCTCAGTGCAGAAAGCAGACTGAGATCTCTCCTGGGAATATTCAGCCAGGACTGTTTGATCAGCTGCTTTGCCATAAGTCCAGCACCAGAAGTGCCCTGTGTTTCCTGTTCTGCCAGAAGCTGCTCTCACTGGAATCTGAGATGATGCTGCATTGTCTATAATTGTGTGGGATCCCCATTTCCCTTTGATTTGCCCCATTCTAATGTTTGATTGGCTCAGAATCTCATTTACTGCCTGCCCCATGTGCTCTGCATCTCTAACATTCTCATTTCTCTCTTTTGGAGCTTGTGGAGATCATTGTTTTCTGTCTGCTCCTGTATTTTTACAAGGAGAGAAATGCAAACTACATTGTCATTATTCTCCTGCTGGTGGCCTTGCTGGGTAAGTTGATATGGACTTGGAAGACCTTTAAACAGTAAATTGAGGCATGCAGGGGATTATATTGATTTAATTAATGCCATCAAATGCACTGATTTCCTCCAGAAATGTTCCTGAAGCTGATGTTTAGGACCTTTGAACAATTAAGGGTTATTCCCCAGCAGACAAATAATCTGCCAAGCACAGAAAGTGCAGGTTATTTATTAGTGTTCTTAATTTTAATCTGGGCACACAAAGGGTGGCATTCAGTGTGCAAGGAGGGCTGAGCC